AAAGAGGTGGGACTTCTCCTGGGGAGATGAGAACATGAGGGAGTTGCCCTTTGGAATCAAATCAAGCCTCCTTTTTACGTCTTGACTCTGGTGCTGATCCTCCTGCAGGCAGACCCCTTTACCTTCCTAGAGTCCCACTGATGGGTAGGCATCTTCCCAGGCATAGTCAATTGTAGGATTGGGGACTCCCAGAAATCGAATGTTTCCTCACATGAAGTCCTGCCAGTGAAACTCAGACTGCAAACACAGAGACGCATCCCAGAGCAGAAGACATGCTGGGCTGGATTCACCCGCATAGCCTCATTGGCGCAGCTGGGAGCTGCCATCGACCCTCCCTTTTGTGAAACATGCACTGACCATGTTTTCTTTGCCTTCTAGGATGTTGGCAGCACCTTGAGCAGGTACCTTCTGGGTTCATTCTCGCTTTCCCTCCCCCCTCCCTCTGTGGCTTGCTGAGCAAAAGTCTGGAAACCAGTCCTGAAGACCCAGGTTCCCAGCAGCCATGGGAATGTTTTGTATTTAATGTATTTGTCACATGTCCAAAGGGGCTGAGTTTTGTTTGCCATGGGACTGGTACTTTGAATTTGTGGTGTATAAAAGACTTTTGGGGGCGGACAGGGCTTTACATTCTAAAGCTAATGCAGAAGGAATCCCATTGCCCCTCTGCGTTGGGTGAGAAAGAGATGTCAGGCAAATTCTCTCCAGCCAGTTGAAATCTGTGAAAATTGTGGCTGCTCCATGTACCTCCCTTTCTCCTCTTGGAAAATGAGGTGTTAACTCCCCAATGTACAGGAGGCCCCCGCTTTACAACGGCCCCATTTACGACCCCCCGCACTTGCGACTTTTTCCATACGTGTGGAAGGGGCTGAAATCCCCCGACTTACGTCCTCGGCCCCACATCTATGATGGCGCACGACACCTGTCGTAAATGTGGGCTCGAGTTACAATGCCCCCGACTTGCGATGCGATTGGTTATTGGGATAGCGTCACAAGTCGGGGCAGCCTGTAGAGGGCACTGAGCCAGTCCCTGGGAGAGCTGAATTCTACTCCTAGCTGTGCCACTGCTGGGTGGCTTTGGGCCGTCACCCCGTGTCTCTGTCTTGTCTAGATAGACTGTAAACCCGTCAGGAAAGGGATTCTCTCGTGCTGGGAGAGTGTGCTGCTTCCAACCCAATGAGGGCCTGGACGCTTCAGTATTCAGAATGACACTAATAATTCAGCAGGTGGTTGTACAATTTAAATTTGTACTTGGGAGTCTGTATAATTGCTGCCCTTCCTATTTCCAGAATTACCAAGATTAGAAGCACTTGTCCCTGTTCGGATTTTGATGGGGCTTCAGTTCACAGGCTGAAGATCTTATTCTTTCTGGCCAGGTGGAGAGTTCCAGATTCAATAGCTAGGTGAAGGCTCTCAGGGTGTGTCTACAGGACAAGTGCTGCTGCAGCGCTGCTGGAGTGTAGACGCTGACTACAGGAAGGGAAGGGAGTTTTCTATTGCTGTAGTCAATTCAGCCCCTCTCAAGAGGTGGGAACAATGGGAAGTTGATGGAAGAAAACCTAATTGTATCAACCTAACTGCATAGCACAAGACATGACATTTTCACAGTTCTGAGTAATGAAAGTAGGTGAGGTAAGTTTTAGGTGTAGGCCAGGCCTCAGGATATATGTGTTTCCCTAGGTGCGAGCGTGTGAAGGCGCCAACTTCAGAGCCCGTTTCTCCTGTGCTGAAGAAGAGAGTCAGTGACTTTTCAGAAAATAATAACCTTGTAATGGGGGTGCTGGCCATGTTCAAAGGTAAATCAGTGTGGATGATGTTTCCAATCCTGTCTCCCCTAGAACTCGTTCTGTCTTCTGCCTATTCTCTGGTTCGTGCTGCTCCATGTTTTCTTGCCCCTATGCCTCTGTCCCCTTCCCATGTCACTCAGTTTTTGCCATTACCGTTCCCCACGTCTCCCACTGGACCTTAGCTTTCATCCTCACTACTCCTGACCTCGTCGGCTACAAAATCTCTGCTCCGCGTGCAGAAATGTGTCTGTTCTTGATTCAATCCGTCATGACTTAGCACTTCTTTCTAGTCCTGTGAAATCTCACTGTGACCAGTGCAATGGATTCTGGGAACTGAATGTGGCTGCGGTACATGAAGGGGAAGAAAAAGGGATCCACAATTGTGGGACATGATATAACAGCTGTTGGGGGATATTGGGAGGAGGGGAGCCATAGGGTGTGTCTACATTGCATTCCTCTTTCGAGAGAAGAATGCAAATCAGATGAAGGAAATTGCAAATGAAGCATGGATTTGAATTTCCTGTGCTTCATTTGCATAATCACCTCTCTTCGCTATTTTGAAATACCCTATTTCAAAATAAAAAACACTGTGTAGAAGCGGTTATTTTGAAAGAAACCCCTTCAAAATTATCGCTTCTACACGGCATTTTTTTATTTCGAAATAGGGTATTTTGAAATTGCGGCCAGACGCAATTATGCAAATGAAGCACAGGAAATTCAAATCCATGCTTCATTTGCAATTTCGTTCATCTGCATTTGCATTCTTCTCTCGAAAGAGAAATGCAGCATAGACATACCCATAGGCAGGGCTCACCAAGCCACAATGAGCCCCGCTCGCCAGCCGTGTGGTTCAGCATGCTGCACATGCACTGATCGCACTGCGGCGCCGTGCCGGGCTATAATCTACTCGCCCGTGGCAAGTAGATTACCTAAATTGTCAAGCCCTGCCCATAGGGTATACATGTGGTGGGAGGGTTTTTCCAAAATGGTGTAAAGACCAGCAGGAAAAGAGACACACACACACACGTGCATAGCCTACTAGGCATTGTTGCACTAGCCAGAGTGACCATAGGTACTGGTGTCACACCAGGCTTCATGTAACAAAGTTCCAAAATCTGGCTCCATCCTGCAAATCCACAAATCTTTGGGGTGGCCCCCAGGCAGCCCCAGGTATGGTTAGGGCTTGTGCCCTTTTCCATATCAATGGAATGAGAGAGCCTGACGTGATCTGTCCCTCCTGGTGACACAGGTGAGGCATGCGCAATGCCATTTTGGAATCTGAGTGATTGATGGAAGGTTAGATGGGTTTGAGATTGTGACATTTTGCACAATCAGACTTCACACTCAGGATCTGGCACTAACAGCTCATCTGGAATACGCCATGAGAACCGGAGGTCATAAGATCTCATCCCTGTCTCTTCTTCCTTCATCTAGAGAATCTGCAAGCTCAGATGGATAAAGAAAAAGGTAAGGGGGTTGTTTTGTTTTGTTTTTTCTGAGAACAAAGAAGAGGCAACGGTTTTCTAAAATGAGGAGCTAGAACGGTATTTCTTCGGACTTCGGCCACAGCATACTGGCAAGAGCTCAGATCTGGGTTGGATTAGATCCATTACATGTCCAATACCGTCCTGTGACAACGGTAAAGGATACCAGAAAGTTACTGTATTCTAGCACCGACCAGGGAACTTTATTTGGAAGAGTATTAGCTCTAAAGCATCTCCATCCTTCTCTGCTTCTCCCTTCTGGCCCAGATAAGGCAAGGAATTACACGTGTCACTTTAATAGGACTGTGCACTTGGTTGAATTTACACTTCTGCTTAAGCACTTTGTTGAACTGGAGTCTTAAAGAAACAGCGCACATATCCTCACTGGCACTTTTGAATTGCAAACTAGATTTGTAATTTAAACATCCTTTGAAGTTCAAGGATGCTCAAATCCGTAATTTTGGTTCAGACCATCTCTGCTCTCTGAATTGTCTGGGGGAAGAGGCTATTCGAACCAAACTGAGGTTTTCCCCCTTAGAAGAGATTGTCTCCACCAGGTGTATGAATCCCATCAGTGGTGCGAAGGCATGCAGGTGCCGTCCAGTGACTGTGTTAGTTGTTGCTGGAGTGGTGAGTTAAAGGCGGGGCTGGGGAACTGTAAGTGTACTGAAAAATGTGAAATAGGATTAAGGTGAAATGGCCAGAGGTTTGGTTAAGGCCGTTACAGCCCCAGAATTTAGATCTAGGTTGAGATTTTGAACTTGTCCCTCTATTACCACCCCCAGAAAGCCAGGGATGCAGGGACACCCCTGCTTATGAACATCCCTGTCCACGCTGGTCAAGAAAATGGTGCTTCCACTGAGCTGTCACTAGTACAGCTTCCAACATTACAGCATAAAAACATGATTTTCTCCAGAAAAGCATATGAGAGTAAGTGACCAGGGAGGTCACTGCACCTGTGTCTCTTTCCAATCGCTGCCACGCCAACGCTGAAACAGAAATTTAGACCATTCCCATGTGTATCTGGGTCCTGGAGTAACAAGGTTAATCCATAGCGGACTAGAAATGGTCCAACATACAATCAGCTGATGCTAAAGACATTTGTATTCGTGGGGTGAAGTCTTAGCTCTGCTGAAGTCAGTAGCAAAAACTCCCATTGGTTTCAATGGGTCCAGGATTTGATTTCACCCACTTGGTTTTATTCCTGATTTAGCTCCAGTAGAAGGAGTCTTTTCTGTTTGTGGTTCAAACCATAAATATTCCTCCTGCCTCCCTGGTCCATTTTATTCTGGAGGAAGGAGATTCACCCATTTGCTCCACTGCTGCCTTTCTCTGATTGTGTCTCTCCTTTTGCCTTGTTTTCTAGTGAATGTGACTCTGGATCCAGAAACAGCAAATTCCCACCTCGTCCTGTCAGAGGACGGGAAAAATGTGAGACTTGGAGAGGGGCGGCTAGACGTGCCTGACAATCCCAAGAGGTTCACATCAAGCCCCTCTGTCCTGGGCTCCGAGGGATTCACAACAGGGAGACACTATTGGGAGCTGGACGTGGGAGATGGGACTGGATGGGCTGTGGGGGTTGCCAAAGAGACTGTGAAGAGAAAGGGACCGCTAAGTCTTGAGAGAGAAGGAATCTGGGCGATCCGGCTGGACTGGGATCATCAATACACAGCTCTCACTTTCCCCCCAACTCTTCTCGCACTGGATGAGAAGCCCAGGAAGATCCGAATTCACTTAGACTACGAAGAAGGTCAGGTGACCTTTTACAATGCAGAGAGCATGGCCCAAATCTTCAATTTCTCTACCTCTTTTAAGGAGAAAATCTTCCCTTACTTTTGGCTCTGGTCCCCAGGATCATATATCCAGGTGTATCCCTGATGGGTATCAGGCTTCTTACAATGTCTCTCACATGAGAACTCCTGCTCACAGCTGGAGAGAGAGGCGTCATTAAAAGAAAACTATCTGAATGCTCAGAAATGACCCACTTGTATTGTTCATTGCAGTAAGTTCATCTGCACTGGTTACCCATAGCCTTGGGCTGGATCATCTCATTTGTGTATTGCTATAATGCAGTGCTGTCTGCTGGATGTTCTCTACTGCCCCGTTAAGTGCCCATGTCAGGTTTTCTCCACAAACTTCTTAGCTTCACTATGCTAGCACTCTTATGTCAGTCCGATTAGGTGTCATTTGTAACTGACACAGCTGTGTCAGCTAAAGCCACCCTAGCATAGATATGGCTACACTTTCAAATGCACTTTTCCCACTATAGGCAAGGCTACAATTTTGCAAGGAGGTTTACAGGATCTGTCGAAAAAGGCTTTTTTTCCCAACAGATCCCTCTCTTGACTGCCACTTTTTGCCAATGAAGTGCTGAGTTTGGCAAAACGCAGCGGCCATTTTTATGCAAATTAGGCATGGGATATTTAAATCCCTGCCTCATTTGCAATGTCAACCTGCCTAATTTGCATCCCTCTGCCGACAGAAGGATGCAGTCTAGATATACCCTAAAAGTAACTGACAAAATGGGACTGGGCCTGAGCCCTGAAAGGTTTAGTGTCCCCCACCACTGGCTGGGAGCTGTGTGGGACCGACCCCCTGAAGCAGCTGGGAGCTCTAGGGCCCCCCATCCCTTCCCTTAAACTCCTGTCCCGCCTCTTCCCACCCCAGCTCAGCCACTGCCACCCTTCCACCCTCAATCCTCCTTCCCTGAGCAATTTGACCTGGCACTGGCAGCAGGGGTCAGGCCTGCCCCATACTCCCGGCAACAAGCAGAGGGACCTGGCTCCAGCCTGCTCCATTCTCCAGGTTCCCAGCCACGTCACTTGCGGAAAGGCCCTAGCCTACCCCACCCCACCCCACCCCACCAGCTCCCTGCTGTGTTGCTTCACTTCCCACAGCCACCAGGTACACCTCCTCCTTATGTCCATCCAACAAACGTACTCACGCAGTGGGGAAAGATTGTACACCCAGGGACACATTGCATGAGGATAGGGTCCCATCCAAGATTGGGAGACTATAACATTGGCTCACATCAGCATCTGGAACAGCCTGAGTCAAATGGGACTGTCATCGGGGTGCCTTGCAGGGTTACCAGTAGCTTGATGGGGCCTTTTCTTCTTGCCCTGGAACCCACAGGCAGTGCTTGGCTGTAACTGCAGTCCATGAACAAGCAGTCAAGATGGAAATGTCTTTCCCATCCACACTCATAATATTTTCCCAGGGTCATTCCCACTGGGAATGGGTTGACGGGTTGCCATCTAATCAGCATTCTCTCTGCCTTCAACAGGCCAAGTTGATAGATCATTTTCCCTGGCTCGTGAAGATCGGTAACTCGTTCTAGCTATTGGCTTGGATTCCCGGGGTTCTTGGTCCTTTGACCTTGTGCCTCCAGCCCCTCAGCCTCCAAGTAGTCCTCTATCAAGGAGACTGCTCCTGTAAGTGAGGTTGAATAATGTTGCCTCATTCATTCTTTTCCTGTGGTGGAGAGAATCTGAATGAACTGCACCATCATCGCTACCTGTGCCACTTGGGTCCCCTCAGCTTCTCTGGCTCCAGCCAGCACCAGAGCTTTTGGGCCACAGACCTTGGCCTAGTTCTTGGGGTGCTATCACTCCCGCCAAAGTCATTGCTGGTATGTTTCAGGGTTGATGCCTATTGAGTCAAGTATGGCCACTTTGACCAATGGGAGCTGAGAAATTGTGCTGCACTGCCCCCCACCTCCCAGCAGCTAGGGATCAGCTAGCCAATACCAGTGCACCTTGTCACAGTGCTACATTAACAATACTCTCTACCTTGTCATCATCAATACAACATCCTAGGTGGGCTCCTGACATTGGGAAGGGTATTGTACAAGTACTTCCTGGGGGGCTCCCTAAGCACTGAAGCTGGTTGCAGAGCCTGTGGGAGCCTAGGGCTGACCCCATCAACAGACCTATTCCCCAACCTTAACTCTGTTCCCAAGGGAGATTTCCTAGGCCTGCAGATGTCCTGGCCAGCTCCTCCATGAGCCTTCGGTGTACAGACAGCTTGGATTGGCAATTGAAGCTCCTCTCAGGCACTGCGTGGCCCTGTAAGGGCCTCTCTCCCATTTGATCCCTCTGGTGCATGGTCAAGATGGACAGGATGGTGAGGTTCTTCTTCCATATGATACACTTTTAGAGCTGCTTCCTGCTGTACATTCCTTGGTGCATAATCAGGCTAGACAGTTTGTGATGCTGCTGGTACATGAAGCAAGGTCTCGTGCACAATGAGGTAGGACTGCCGCTAAAGCATTTCTGGCACTGGGCACACCATCAGGGCCTCTCTCCTATGTGGATTCACATGTGCAGGTTGAGTTTTGATACTTTTCAGACTGATATGGTCTCTGGCCACAGTTCATTCATTGATGGGTCCTGAGCTAAGACAATGTGTTGAAGCTGCTCGCACACAATTTGAGCAGGGGGAGCTCTCACCCACATGGATGCACATGTTCACAGTGAGATTCTTCTGCTATCAGAAGCTCTCCTTACATTGTGTGTTCCTGTAGCTCATCTCTGGCTGGGTGGAGTTGGGAAGCACCAGTTCCTCCCGCAGGCAAAACAGCAAAGGAGATTCCAGACATATTGGTCTCTTTTGGGTTCGGCTTGGTCATGTATCCTACATGCAGTTAATCTCTGGCTTTTGTTCCAGGAGTCACCATCTAGAATGGGTGGAGGTGAATGAAGCCAAAGGTGGTTTGCATTGCACATCTCCACACCGAAAGCCCCCAATGTGCTTCTCTGATTGAGGGGTGCCATTCTCAACACCCTATTACAGTATTGTCATCCTCAAATGGTTAAAAATGTGCAAAACCCAGAAGAGTAAGTAAAGTAAAATGTGGGCTCTTTTTATTCCACTGTTTTTGCCCTTAGTTAAGCACTTCAGTCACATTTTGAATCTTTTCTCTGTAATCAGGAGGTCTAACAATCCATTGTGTTTGTTTCATGAGAGTGGAGCTAAAAGCTAGGCATTATTATTCTTAGTCTCACTTGATCACATGCCTCCAGTAGCCCGGGCTTTGAAGAAAAACTTCAAAGGTTTCGTTAGTCTTTAAAGTGCTACTAGACCATTGTTGTTTGTTTAAGTTTTTCCTGTTACAGACTAACTCGGATACCCTTCTGAAGCTTTGGAAGGTTGTGACACTTGTGGGCACTGCCCCACGGTGTGGCTTTAAGTGGCTTGTGGCTTCGGCACTCCTGCTATAAAAATTATTCCGGTGCCACTGGACTTGGGCTAAAACCGCAGGATTTGGGAACGATGCTCTTAAAACCAGGCAGAAACGTTGCCCCATAAAAATGTCCTCGGCGGGAGGGGTTCCCACGCCTGTTTCTCGGTGATTTCCGTGCCACGGATGCTCAGGTGACAAGGATCTGCGGATGCTGAGGTGACGAGGATCTGCGGATGCTGAGGTGACGAGGATCTGCGGATGCTGAGGTGACGAGGATCTGCGGATGCTGAGGTGACGAGGATCTGCGGATGCTGAGGTGACGAGGATCTGCGGATGCTGAGGTGACGAGGATCTGCGGATGCTGAGGTGACGAGGATCTGCGGATGCTGAGGTGACGAGGATCTGCGGATGCTGAGGTGACGAGGATCTGCGGATGCTGAGGTGACGAGGATCTGCGGATGCTGAGGTGACGAGGATCTGCGGATGCTGAGGTGACGAGGATCTGCGGATGCTGAGGTGACGAGGATCTGCGGATGCTGAGGTGACGAGGATCTGCGGATGCTGAGGTGACGAGGATCTGCGGATGCTGAGGTGACGAGGATCTGCGGATGCTGAGGTGACGAGGATCTGCGGATGCTGAGGTGACGAGGATCTGCGGATGCTGAGGTGACGAGGATCTGCGGATGCTGAGGTGACGAGGATCTGCGGATGCTGAGGTGACGAGGATCTGCGGATGCTGAGGTGACGAGGATCTGCGGATGCTGAGGTGACGAGGATCTGCGGATGCTGAGGTGACGAGGATCTGCGGATGCTGAGGTGACGAGGATCTGCGGATGCTGAGGTGACGAGGATCTGCGGATGCTGAGGTGACGAGGATCTGCGGATGCTGAGGTGACGAGGATCTGCGGATGCTGAGGTGACGAGGATCTGCGGATGCTGAGGTGACGAGGATCTGCGGATGCTGAGGTGACGAGGATCTGCGGATGCTGAGGTGACGAGGATGGACAGCATCTGTCTGTCTGTCTATCCCCATATAACGCCTCCATCTAACTAGCTAGCTATGGAGAAAAGAAATGATTTAGGGGGATATTATAGAGTTCTACACACTCATGAATCCTGTTGGAAAAGGTAAATAGAGAAACGAGGGATCTGCCCTTTTCTCCCAAGGCAAGAACGAGAGGAACTAACACAGAGCTAGCAGCAGAAATACACGCAGGACATGCTTTCTCACATAGCGCAGACTCCACCAGGAAAACTCACTGTCATCGAAGGATCTGTGTTGGAAATAAGCCAGGACACTCTGGATGCAGGTGAAAACAAGCGGAGGATTTATTATACATCAGCTGATGGAGTGACACGCAGGGGGTGCTCCTTGCTCCCCATTGCCTAACACTGTTTGATCCCCACTCCTACACCCTATGCCCTTTGATCTTTAATCTCTGACCCTACAGCCCATGCCAACACCCTCTTTTCCCATGAGCGGCACTTCTCCTTCAACCTCCTCCTTCCCCGAGCCTGGCAGAATATTTATTCCAATTTGTGTACAAGAGAGGTTACCGTCTGGGGAGTTTCTGTGGTGTAGTGGTTGTCACCTTTGCCTAACACACACAAAGTGCCTTCTCTTACTGGGACTCTCCTTGGAGCCCTGGTAAGTGCACCTCCTGCTGCCCGGCCTGTCCCTCAGGTGAGTTCAGCTCTCCTGTGTCGTCAGCTCAGAACGCACCTTGGTGTCAGCCTGGGGAAGTGAGATGAGTCAGGCTGGTCACCTGTTGGAGGCTTGTGGCTTCTTGGCCTCTGGTGCCCTTGGTAGGTGGCACATGGAGTCGGCTCTTCTTGCTGCCTCCCCTGTGTGACCTGCCAAAGGCAGAAGCGAGGCAGGAATGGGGCAAAGGAGGAATCTCAAACTGAGGGAGGCGAGAAGCTAAGAGCCCCTCCCCCCTTTTGTTCTGTGAAAGCCTGTGGGGTGCGGCTGGCTGCTCAGAGGCAGACTCCTGTGCCTGTCTCATGGAATCCCAGGGTTGGCTACGGCAGCCCAGAAGAAGAGGGGCATTCTGGTTGGAAGGAAAACAATCATGGCTGCGTCCGTTTGGCCGAGCGGGGTGGGCGATGTTGGGCTTGACGGGCTCCCTGTCAGCCTTTGTGGCTGCTCCGGGGTGTTATTCATGGCTTTGGATGTGGGGTGGGGCTGGCTGTGAGCAACAGGGATCCACGAAGCCCCCACCTGGCCCTCTGGCGGTGCAGTCTGAGGAGCGCATCCTAGAATGGAATGTCTGGGACCGGACCCACCGCTATTGGCTGGCCAGCTGTTCTCCGACTCTCCTGGGCCGCGCGGG